CCACCTCCGAGACGTTCCGTTCCGCAAACTCCTCTCCTGACCCCGTGGGTCTTGGAAAGTCCCTCTTTTTGCACTAGCCTTTTCCGCCGTTGCTGCAAATGCAGAGCCAGACGTTCCCAGGATGTGCCACCCACTCGCAGCAGCCGCACACTGTTCTGGCCGCCTACTATGTGCCAACACTGCGGACGGAGTCGCTCCGCACAGCCATTTGCCCGCCCACCCTCCCACCTGTAGCTTCGTGGTGGAACGGAAGAACGTCTGTAGTGAAATTCAAACCATTTCCCCCCTAGACTAGCGAGCGACCTGCCTCCTTTCTGAGGGGAAACACCACCAGCGTTGGTGTCCGTCAGCCGTGGGTTTGAATCCGGCTTTGGCCGACTTCGACGAGCTGCGGCTGCAAGCGCTTCTCAGGGGTGGTGAGGATTGAGAAGATGCACGTGATCCTGTAAAGGGAGCAAAGCAAAATGTATACTCGCTGTCCTCCAGCCAGTCTCTAACCCACACTGCAAAGCAGCCCTGGACACATCAGGGGAATGTGTTGGTCACTGCTTCGTCCATCACCGTGGGGAGAAGTCTACATGTCCTGACCACAGTCCCAGACCCAGATGCCCGGCGCACTCTGCTCAAGTCTGAGGAGGTGGGGTGGACACCTCCCCTCACTCAGGCCTGCAAGCCTGAAGCTGCAGCAGCTGCATTATAGCCTTTAGCCTTCACTATGACAACCAGCCTGCCCAGACAGGAGCCCTGCTGGGAAGGCTAGGGGGCCCACCCGCTGCTCAGACTGAAAGCTAGTACCCCAGGTTCCCCGGGCCCCCTCTTGGGAGGCAGGACCAATTATTATACCCTTCTCTCTGAGGCAGACATTCTGAGGCCTCCCTGGAGGCGGTGACCCCTGGCTTCCTCTCCCACATCAATGTCCAAGGGGTAATGGGAGGGCATCAGTCAAGAGTTCTGGAAAGGAACAGGAGAGTGGGTTGTGGGGGCAGGGAAGCTGGGGTCTGCGAGGTCCTAGTGGCCGGCACAGGCTGGGAAGAGCCTCCAGCATTCCCAGGGGAGAGGACAGCTGGGGTAAAAGCTGCAGTTGGCCTGCCCGCCTGTTGGTCTGGGTTCCTCCCTGCCGGCTGCCCTTGGCTGCCCACAGAAACCTGAGTCACAGTCACAGGCGGCCGCTGGACCCCACCCAGCCTGCTGTTAGGGAAGTTCTGGAGAGATGGGAGGAGTCTCCCTCTGCCTCTGAGATTCTTCCTCTGAGCCTGTGAGCCTTTCCCTCTTAGACTCTTCCAGGCCCTCACAGCACCCTCAGTCCTGAATTAAGGGGGCAGGGGTGGGGGTGGCAGAGAGGATCGAGTCCATTTTTGCCTTTTCTCAAAAGTTCCCATCGATGAGTCAACCAGGGGGTTAGTATAGCACTGATGAAACACACACTATTCCTCTGGTTCTTTGAGGCTTCCTCACCCCCACTATCATGACCCCAGTCCTGCCTTTCAGTTTGGGCTAGACCGTAGCATGCACACTGATACAGACATACAGACAAGAGCTCATGACACACAGAACCCAGGTCAGATACACCCCTCAGGAACAGAAATGAAAGTAGTGATACCAGGAGGGGTGGGGTGGGGGATGGGAGAAAGGTGGATTGCAGTGATCTACACATAATCCCCGCCACCACCAGGGGGATGATCAACAACGTGGGTGAAGGAAGACAGTGGCCGATGTAAGATAGGAAAACAGTAATAATTTATAATTTATCAAGGGGTCATGAGGGTGGGAGGGAGAGCGAGGGGAAAAAAGAGCTCAAATATAAAGTAGTAAATGTTTAGGAAAATGATGGCAACAGATGTACAATATGCTCGATACAACTGATGTATGGAATGTTATAAGAGCTGTAAGAGTCCCCAATAAAATGATTAAAACAAAAAGAGCTCCCATCACTCCCAATTCCTCCCCACCACATCTCTCCCTCAGGGACAAGGCACTACCACCCCTGCCTCCCCCCGCCCCCCCCATCTCAGGGGCAGCTTTCCATCCAGGAGACACACAGATCTCTGCCCAGGAACCCAAAGGACTGAATATTTCGCCCTGCACTTTGAGTTCCAGCCCCCACCATCTCTGGCTCCTCTTCGCCAAAGTTGGAAATAGGGCAGTAGAGCAGCTGTTGTAAACAGTTTCAGGCCCCAGGCCCAGGAAGTGAGCTTTGGAAACTGAGGCCCCGCAGGGGCGGGGTGGGCACTTTAGCGTAGAGGATCCAACATCTGCTTAGGGGTGGGGAAGGGGTGAGACACTGATAGCGGTTAGCTGCTCTGCAGCCCCCACCATGAGGCTCCTCCCACTTCCTACTCTGTCGGTGAGGAGGCAGCCTCCAGGGTCTGGCCCCAGATTCAGATCTCTGTGTCCAACTTCCTAGTGGTCTTCCACCACTTCTTCAGGTTCCTCCTGAACCCTTCCGGCCAAACCTCGGAGGAGACTGGTAACCCTCTAGTGCCTCCTCTCCCTGGGGGGACCAAGAAGGGGACATATTTCTGATTCATATTCAGTGACTTGCCACCTAGGCCCAGCCCAGTCTGGTGGTGAGACTAACGGCTCACTCTTTTCTATTTCCGCTAAGTGGGAGGGTACTGTACTGGGGCCATGAGAGGTGACAGGGTGCCCTGCCCTCACCTGTGGTATATTGGGAGCCACCCAGCTCCAACCTCAGAGAGGGACATCCATTCCAAACTCTCTCAGGTGCTGGGGGCTGAGGTCGGCCAGGGAGCCTGCCTGTTAGGAGGAGAATGGCAAGGAGCTCACCCCATCTGTCTACCTGGACCACACCAATCAGGGGCCACTGTCACTCACTCATCAGTGCCCCGCAACACACACATACACACACACAGCACTCCCTGTAGATCCATCAGCTGCGCGCAGGAAGCTTTCTGGGTCAGCCACAGGAACTGTCTCTCAAATTAATCAACTGTCCCTCAAATTACAGGTAACCAGCATCTTGTGAGAAGGTTCAGGTGCCTCCACCCTCAATCTAGGGGACAAGGGTTCCTCGCTTTGTCACCATTGACAGTTTGAGCCTGACAGTTCGTTGTTGTGAAGAACTGTCCCATTCATTGTAAAATGTTCCCATGGGGTGGAGGGTGCAGGGGAGGGGTGAACAGTCCCTGCTTGAAAGTCACTGATACCTTAAACTAGGCATTCTCAAACTATGGCCACATGTGGCCCGCCGAGGACATTTATCCGGCCGGCCGGGTGTTTTTGCTCCGTTTGGTTTTTTAACTTCAAAATAAGATATGTGCAGTGTGCATAGGAATCTGTTCATAGCTTTTTTAAAAACTGTAGTCCGGCCCTCCAACGGGTCTGAGCTGGCCCCGTTTAAAAAGTTTGAAGACCCCTGCCTTAAACGGTCTCTTGTCAGGGAACTCTCCAAATTCCGTTCTGGTGAATTAAACACAATAGAGGATTTCCAGGTCTACAGTCCTGCTCATTCCTCCTCTGCTGAAGAGCCTCCAGCAGCTTCCCATTATCTCTATATCTAAGCCTTCCAAGGCCTCTTACACAGGCCATCCTGCCTTATCTTCCTCTCATCTTTCTCTCTCGCTGCCATTGAGTCCATGCTGACTCATGGCAACCCTATAGGACAGGGTAGAACTGCCCCTTTGGGTTTCCGAGACTGCCACTCTTTACGAAGTAGAAAGCCCAGTCTTCCTCCCCCAGAGTGCCTAGTGGTTTCGAACCGCAGACCTTGTGGACCAAAGCCCAATGTGTAACCACAATGCCTCAGGGCTCATCATCTCTACTTTAGCTACCAGTTTTCCCCTCCAGTATTCTTGAGCTCAAGCCAAGGTGGGTATTTCCCTAGCCCCCTATATCCTATCCTCACAGAAACTCCTGCCTAGTCATCCTTCCAGACCAGAAGTGGGGGAATCAGAAAGGAGCTAAAGCAGAAGACTGTCCCCTGGTTGGGTTCTGTTCTTGAATCCTAAGTCTAGGAACTGGTTGGCTCCCGGTGGCTCTGTTCAACTCTGGGAGATTCAGGTCCTGGAGGCCTCTGGTCTTACAAATGACAGCGGCTCCTTATCTACCCCTGAACCCTGAATGAGAAGATTCGACTCCATCACCCTGCAGTCCTTTCGCCCTGTGGATGGAGTGGCTGGCAACAAATCCGAAGGCCGTGCTCCCTGTTCTAATCCAATGTTACCCTCCGACGCTCAGCATCATCACCCTTACTTCCTGTTGTTTCCAGTTGCCATGGGAAGATGAGGATTCTTGGTGACCGCTGCGCCACAGGGTTCCCAGGACTATGGCTTTTTGACTTTTCAGGAGCTGTTGGATGTCTCTGGGTAGGTTCCAACCACCCATCTTTAGGCTAGGGGTTAGGTGGGGTGCTTAACCCTGTGCCCCACCACGGGATCCAATGAGCTGGAACCCACTGTGCAGCCACTAACAACAATGTATTTATTGACTGCTTTGTAGACAGCAGCCTCTGTGCTAAGCACCAGGTCTGCATTACCTGATTTGATCCCTACAACTACATCATAATACTTCATGGCAT